ACGTTTTTAAATCTAGCCTGTTTCCTCATCTGTAAAGAGAAGATCACGGTACATCTTACTTTATAGGGTTACTGTCACAAATAATTCTAAGATGTGTCCCTAGGTCTGGCCCATAGAAAAGGATGGATCACCAACTTTCTGTAACGGCACCTCTTGGAGAGAGTTCTCTGGTCTTTGAGCTCCCAGAGCAGTTAGTGGGTAAGGCTAGGAACCCCACAAACCCGATGCTCTCTGCCCTGTGCACTGGCGCGGGGTTTCCAGAGTCCCGGGGAACCTCCTGACTGGAAGTGACCCACCCGGGATTAGGGCCCCGGACAGCGCAAACGAACAGAAGAGGGGGCGTCTCCAGTTTCACACCCATTGCCTCACATTATCAGCAACCCCGCTGCCCATTTCCCTCCTGACATTTTGGGGAAATGATTTATCCCATACCCCTCACGTTTCCTGTAGGGCAGGCAACTTCCACCCCCATGGTTAGCAGTGTCTGCCTCCCCTCTCAAGGGGACTTGGTGCCCGCCAGCAGGGCTGCTGCAGACATACACACACGAGGGCCAGCAGTGGAGGGACACGTGGGGCTCGGGGACAATGAGGGCAGCCAGGTGGCTCCTTTGCCACTCCTCTAACTATCACACCTGGTGGGAAACGATCTTTTGCATCCAGGAGTCTGTGTTGGAGATACAGCAGAGCTCTGTCCCCACTGCTGACAGACACCCCCCTTTCCACCTAGCCGGGTGGGCCCTGCCTGGGCGGGGCTGACTCACCTGTGGTTTGTGATATTTCCAAATGGTGGTGTCAAAGAGAAGTGACTTCTAGTTTCTAGGCAGTTAATACTGTTCAGGAGAATGCTTTCTGAGGGAAATGGATGCAGCTTTGTGTATTACGTACTCTTAAAAATAACACTGAGCAAAACTACTCTTGGTGACCTCAGGTAGATCTGAGTTCGTGCCTTGAATTCTCTCCAGTGAGTACAGTCGCATGTGTGGGGCCTGCAGTCACACTGGCCCTGGCAAGCAGATACTCCCTCTCACTTCATGGCAGTCCTTCCTGCCCACCTAACCAAGCCTGGCCGTCCTACTCTAACAGCAGTGACATTTAGCTGTTCCTCAGTGTGGCCAAGAGCTCGTGTGCAGCCCTGATGCTGGCTGACACACTTTGAGACCTCAGATAACTCCCTTCACTTCCTTGGCCCCCCTGGAGTCGGAGTGTCCCCTTTCCCCCCAGGCGGCCAGCCCAGCCCTGCCCCCCTAAAGCCGTGGAGACTGTGCCCACAACCATTTTCCTTAACTTCAGGAGGAAACCATGGCTTCCCTTCTCTGTCCCACAGAATTTCCCCGGGGTCCCATGCACACTGCAGGCAGCAGCAGGGACTCCTATCCCTGCACCGCCTCTTCCCTCAGGGCCTGGAGGACCAGTGTCTGTGAATACAGAGCCACCCCCAGTCAGCCGGTCACAGAGCTGGCCTCAGTGCCTGGGCCATGTCTGGGAGAATGTCCCTTTTGGGCCATACGGGAGGGCAGGGCAGAGCTGGCGCTGTGGACCGAGACCACACCAGGCCCTGGGGTCCGCCATCGCCAAGGCAGGAGCAGAATGGCTCATTTTTGCACCTTCACACCTCCCTTGTCCCTTCCTCCCAGGGGTCCTCCTGTGCTGTGCAGCACACACAGCCACAACCTTCAGCAGCTTCTGTCTAGGATCACAGGTTCTCAGAAGGGAAGAATTCCCACTAAGGGAAGTGGCCCAGCATGGACTGCACCCCAGGAACTATGCTGACCCGCATTAATCTGCTGTCATCCACGGGGACCACTTAGACTCCACGTCCCACATAGAAGTAGGTCACAGACCTCATTTTACAGATAGGAGAACCGTGGTGCAGAAAGATGGGGGTCAGTGGCCCAAGACACCCTGCCAGCTGGTGAGCAGCTGGTGAGCAGAGGCATGGGGTCCAGACTGACCTTACTATGCATATGCACAGCCTGCCCTGTTCCCACTGTCAGGTGTCCTGAGTCTAATGGGATACGTTAGTCCCTGCTGGCTCCTGCTGCACACTGTGCTAGGCACGTCCCCCTCCAGGTCCCTTCCAGCCAGAGCGCAGCCGGGCTGAGCAGTCACGAGCACACGCCGCACCCTCCCCACCTCACGTCTGCCCCAAGTCCTCCCATCACAAGTGAGGGGTGCTGCCGGGGTGGAGGCTCAGCATGAGAGCTGAACAGGCTAACAAGCCCTTGTGTAAATGTTTCCCTCCTGCCTCACACCCCAAGCCACCTTGGTCTGTCACAAACGAGCTCCCTGGTCACTCACTCCCACAAGACAGTCCAGCAGCTCTTTAATGGGTCAGCACAGGCACCAGGTGGCCCCGTCTTTCATTCCCCACCACCTCCTGGGTGGTGATCTGTTCAAGATCACCCTGAACAGTGGCGGCACCTGCCACCCCATACGTGGTCACCCATGAAGCAAGCCAGCTGGTGGCCCTCAAAGGCTGGCCTGCAGTGGAGACAGAGCCAGACCAAGAGCTCTCTGCCAGGAGCAAGCATCTGCTGCTGGGGCTGCACTGCGGGTACTGCCTGGGTACCACACACCCACTGCCACCTGGCACCCTGCCTCGGAGCCCCGGCCACCACAGGCACAGCACTGGGCTGCACTCTGTAGTGAGATCCAGTGCCTTCAGGGCCACTGCAGCCCCAAACCTGCTATCTGGAGCCCAGCACAGGGTCAGTGGCAACCTTGAAGAAAGAAGCAGAGATGGGCAGAGCCAAAAGGTCCCACCTGCCACTGTGCACGGGGTCCCCTGGGAGAGGCAGGGTTCCAGCTGCGGCTGCACGGCAGAGGCTAGTGGGCCTGGGCTTGGAGGGGCAGCTAGGGTGACCTAAGGGCAGCGCCGGGGCACAGCCCCTTTCCGCCCAGCCTCCTCCTCGCTTTCATGCTCTTGTTCCCACTCAGGCTGAACCAGGCAAATCTGAATTCCTGAGTACATGAAGTATGGCTCCTCCCGCAGCCAAACATCTCCAAGGCTTGGCTCAACTGTCGCCTACTTCGTGGATGTCCTTAACTCCCCTAGCTGGAAATATTCACCTCCCTCTGAAGCCCAGTTCTTTCCACAATATTTACTTGACTTCCCTATTTGTTAGCATCAGTATCCCCGGGGTCTCCCTGAGTGAGTGAAAACCCTCTGGCGGTGTTGCCCAGAGCCCAGCTGGTGCTTGCGCACGGTGGACGCGCAGCATCTGGTAGGTGAGTACATGCCTGGGCCTCAGCAGAAAAGGGGGGCCTGGAGTGAGTCCTGTGCAGTGTCCAGATCTGCTTAGATTAAATCCTAGTATATCCCAGCTAGTCTGGGACCAGCCAATGGGGACGCGAGGCCTCAGGACTCTTTCCCCAGAGTCCACACCGCTGTGGTCCAGAGGAGGCACTAGCCCATCCTCGGCTCCAGGCCGGCTTGTTGGCCCTCAGGGTCCCCTGGCGAGCCACCCCAGCTGGCAGAAAACGCCTCCCTGTCCCATTCCCCTTCTGTGCACACTAGGTGGTCAGGAATGTGGTCCTTTCAGAAACTAGACAGCTGCTTGGAAAAGTATACACACACACAAGACATAAATGCCCTCAGCTTTAGGAACGCTGCCTTGCAGTGAGAGGACTGCCTGACCAGCACCCTCATCGGCAGGACGCAGAGGGGGCCCCTGCCCCTCTAGGAAAGCCATGTGCTCCCCCACTGCCATCCAGAGCCTCTGGCCCAGAAGCGCTGAGTTTGGTCCCTGGGAAGGAAACAGGAAAGCCCTTTGTAAACCGCATGCCAGGGACCTGCCAGTCTGGTTTCTGCCCCACAGCAAAGCCCCCACCTCACAGTGCAAAGGAATCCAGTGTGTACAGAGGCCTGCTGGGTCCCCTCGGAGCCTACCCTCTGCCGGCCACCTGGGATTCCGAAGACGGGAAAGCCTGCATGTTGCTCCTGTAGTCACCAGGCGGAAGCGCAGGCACGGGCCAGGCAAGCTCCCCAGGTCACCCCTGCCCCACAACTGCTGCCCAGCTCAGGGGGGAGGGGGACCGGCCCATGCACACCACATTCCTGCAGCCTGCCTCCCTGTCCCATCTGCGCCAGAGCCGAGTGGCCAGGTTGGACCCCCGCACACAAGCCCACTGTAAACCACTTCACACCAGCAAATGTTGGTCCTGGGCCCTGCTTTTTAACTTACAAAGTCAGGGCACTGAAGATCACATTGGCACTCCATCTTCCCGTCCTTCTCCCACCTGGCACATGGCCTTCGGAGGGCACAGGAAGCCCCAAATGACATGGTAAGAGGCAGCAGACCTGGCTGGGGCCTTGGCCCTGTCCCCTTACCTCACGCTGCTCGGGCTTGGGGGAACTGCCAGGCTGGGCACGCTGCGGGGGAGCTGGAGGCCAGTCCCTCTGAGCAGCCAGCAGACATCCCGGCCAGGATCTACGGCAAGCCTCCCCGTGCCGGGATACCCTCCGCAGATGGCATTCCCCTGTTTCCCGTGCTTGGCACCACAGCCTCATCACATGGGTCCTAACCAACCGGGCTCTTTTAATTCTGGAAATGAGCTATCTGCTCCTTCCTCCTGTTTTTAGTGGTTTCTCCCTTCTTTTGAAATACCAAAGACTCAGTCAATGGGGAGGTGGTGGGAGGGGCCTCACCTCTGCCCAGTGGCCTGTGTGCAGCCCCTACTGGCCACACTGATAGCAAGGCCGTGACCAGGGCGACACGCAGGAACGCCATCTGCGGTGCTCGGCTCCTTGTTCTCTGGGACCCATCAGTACAGCACCGTCAGCCCCATGTGGCCAGCACCCACCGCGGGAAGCCCGGGCCACCGTCCTGCTTTGTTAGGTGGCTGTGCAGGGAAGAGCTCGCCTGGAGCTCTGGGACATCGCGTGACTGCACTCCCAGGATCCGGGTTGTGAAGACAGGACATGCCCATGAGCTTTCCTTCCGAGCCACGGTCTCCGTCCCCGTCCATCCCCCCTCACAATAAGCCACGGCCACACCCGCTCTTCACTGTGCTTTTGATGCCTCTGTCCCACCACTGGGACCTATGGGAAGTCCATGTGGTCTCAGGACACCGAAGTCACTGACCACAGACCCTGTATTCTGTGTGCACCGGACGCCCCCTGCTCACGCTCCCAGGCCCTCATCTCTGGTCTGCAGCTAAAATGTTCCCTTCCTCGATGCTCTGCAGCCTCTGGCGGCTCGCAAGTGTCCTGCTGCCTCGGCGGCCCCCAAGGCTGGCCCCAGGGACAGTTTGCGCTGCCATCAGGACACCAGGTAAAGCCTCCTCCCCAAACAGGCTGACTTTGGCTTCAGCCTCTATGACTCTGGCCAAGCTGGCTGCGTAGCTGTCCAGGGACTCGTGCACTTCAGCCTTCACGTGGAGAACGGGGTTCTTGGCAGCCTCTGAGGGGGAAGGCAGGAAAGAGGTTAGCAGGGCTGAGGGGAAGCAGACCGAGGACCGTCCCAGGAGCATGCCTGCTGTCCCGGCGTCCCGGGGGGAGGCGAGCCGGAGTCAGGGTCCTCAGGCTGAAGTCCTTGGCCCCCTTAGTACCTGGGAATCCTTACACGTTTTTAAATCTAGCCTGTTTCCTCATCTGTAAAGAGAAGATCACGGTACATCTTACTTTATAGGGTTACTGTCACAAATAATTCTAAGATGTGTCCCTAGGTCTGGCCCATAGAAAAGGATGGATCACCAACTTTCTGTAACGGCACCTCTTGGAGAGAGTTCTCTGGTCTTTGAGCTCCCAGAGCAGTTAGTGGGTAAGGCTAGGAACCCCACAAACCCGATGCTCTCTGCCCTGTGCACTGGCGCGGGGTTTCCAGAGTCCCGGGGAACCTCCTGACTGGAAGTGACCCACCCGGGATTAGGGCCCCGGACAGCGCAAACGAACAGAAGAGGGGGCGTCTCCAGTTTCACACCCATTGCCTCACATTATCAGCAACCCCGCTGCCCATTTCCCTCCTGACATTTTGGGGAAATGATTTATCCCATACCCCTCACGTTTCCTGTAGGGCAGGCAACTTCCACCCCCATGGTTAGCAGTGTCTGCCTCCCCTCTCAAGGGGGCTTGGTGCCCGCCAGCAGGGCTGCTGCAGACATACACACACGAGGGCCAGCAGTGGAGGGACACGTGGGGCTCGGGGACAATGAGGGCAGCCAGGTGGCTCCTTTGCCACTCCTCTAACTATCACACCTGGTGGGAAACGAGACTCCAGAGGTGACCAGGTGCTGGGCCTTGAATTCACAATAGGTGGAAGAGAAAAGTGTAGCGACAACTACAGCAGAACTCATACCACTCAGGTCCAAGTGCCCCTTCACTTCAGGGGCGACAGCAAAGCAGGTGTCCCGCTGGCCTCTACTTCCATTTTCCACATGCGGAAGCTGAGGCTCAGAGGGGCCGAGCCAGGATTTATGACCACAGGTCACCCATAAAGGAGAGACGGCAGAGGGCTTGGGCACCAGTTTGTCCTACCAGGCAGCTTCCTGAGGGCAGAGATGGGAATCAGGATCTGGGCTGTGTCTGCAGACGTCGCCAGCCACTGCCTGCCCAGCCCATGGGAGCCCTACAACCCTACCCTTTCCCCTGTGCTGTCATGAAGCCATCTCACAGAAAACAACCTCTGAGACGTTCCACTTCATCCTCGAATGTCACCGAGCTCCTCCTCTTGTGTGGGCAGGTACCGTGGGAGGGAGGGTTGTCCTCCGACGTGTAATCTTCCAGCATCATCATGTCCGTTCCTAAAACCAAGGGCAGACTGTGCGTCCAGGGCTCTGCCTGCCCCTCCCCTGACACCCGCCTCCCTCTGCCTCCTGGCCCCCACCCCAAGCCGGCATCCCTTCCTCCTGTCTCTCCCGCCTACAGCCAGGTGCGGTAGCTGCCCTGCTGCACCTGCCCAGAAACACTGTCCCTCCCCAGCTCCAGGGATCTTGCAGCCACCACAGGCTGCCAGACACAAAACACACGGCACTGTTGTCCGGGGACAGCGATGCGCCCCAACCCGTTAGGGTGAAGCCTGCCAGGCCTGGGCGTGGGGGCGGGGCGGGCGCCCCTGAAGGAGCTCCGTGCTCTGCATGGTGCTTCTTAGAGCCTGAATCACTGTCAGTGTAACTACACTGCGCTAAGTAAACACTAAATACACTTAATCCTAATAGAATTAAAATTCGTTGTTCTAAACACTAAAACTTGAAAATGTAAAGTTCTTTGGGGATCAAAGAAGGATTGAAAAATGTATTAGAGACAGTGAGTCAGGAGGTCCCATTAGAGGGAAGTGGGCAGAGCAGGCGGGCAGCCTGGAGGAGTGGGCTGGGCTCGCGGGGCTGGGACAGAATGCCAGGACCTGCCGTGTTCCATCTTAGTCTCCAGCTTTCAGTGCTTCACACCCTTGGCACTCAGGAAGCCAGGAAGGCCTCTGCAGGCCCTCGCAGTGTGTGTGAGCGGCCTGTGAAGGCCTGTGTCCTGTGTCCTACAGAAGGAGGGTCCGGGGCGGGAGGCGGACAGACCCAGGTCATGGCACGTTGTTTAATCCCTCAGTCTTTCCACCTCTGTGAAAGGGGATCTCGGTTCCGTCCACCTCGTAGTCATGAGGATTGTGAACTGAGACATGGGAAGATGTGACGTGGGTACATGGCAGGAGCTAATTGATGGGATTCCTAACAGGGACACAGCTAGTCATGGGTGGGGCTGAAACCCACTCAGGCCTGTGCACGTGGTCAGGTCAGAACCCCAAAGCCCGTGGTCCTTCACCTTTCCTGCCTGGCTCCCTCCCCAGAGGGCACACCTACAGCTGTGTCCCAAGGGCACTTGGCCCCCTTCCATGGCTCTTCTTGCAGTTCTCCTTTCTTTTAATTGACACAGAGTTGACATATAATATTACATTAATTTCAGGCATACAACAACATAGTGACTCAGCATTTATGTACATTACAAAATGCTCACCATGGTACGTGTAGTTCCATCTGTCATCACACCCAGTTATTGCGGTATTAGTGACTGTATTTCCTCTGTTACAGTTTTCATCCTGGGGACTTACCTATTTTGTAACAGGAAGTTTGTCCCTCTTTATCCCCTTCACCTATTCCCTCAACCCCCTATCCCTCTCCCCTCAGGCAGCCACCGGTTTGTACTCCATATTTATGAGCCTGTTTCTGGCTTTTTAAAAAAATTTCTGCACAGAAGTGAGCTCATATGGTATTTGTCTTTGACTTATTTCACTGAGCATATAATAACCTTCTAGGTCCGTTCATGTGGTCACAAATGGCAAGACTTCATTCTTTTTACAGCTGAGTAATATTTCATTCTGTTTATGTACCATATCTTCTTTATCTTCTTTAATTGGCACTCAGGTTGTTTCCACATCTTGGCTACTGTAAATAATGCTGTAATAAACATAGGGGTGCATATATCTTTTTCAAATTAGCATCTTCATTTTCCTCAGGTAAAATACCCAGAACTGGAATTTTGATTTGCATTTCCCTGCTGATCAGCGATGCTGAGGGTCTCTTCACGTGCCTGTGGGCCATCTGTGTGTCTTCTTTGGAAAAATGTCTCCTCAGGTCGTCTGCCCATTTTTTAATTAAATTGTTTGGTTTTTTTGGTGCGCTGCATGATTTCTTTATGTTTTGGGCATTAACCCTTCATCAGGTCCATCAATCATAAATGTCTTCTCCATTCACTAGGTCGTCTTTCATTCTGTTGATGGTTTCCTTTGCTGTGCAGGATCTTTTTACTGTGATGTCATCCCACTTGTTCATTTTAGCTTTTGTTTTCCTTGCATGAGGAGACAGATTCAGAAAAATACTGCTAAAGCCAATGTCTGAGAGTTTACTGCCTATGTTTTAAGATTTTTTATGGTTTCAGAACTTACATTTAAGTCCTTAATCCATTTTGAGTTTATTTTTATGTAGGGTATCAGACTGATCCAGGTTCATTCTCCTGCATGTAGCTGTCCAGTTTTTCCTACACCATTTATTGAAGAGACTGTCTTTTCTCTGTAGTATATTCCTGATTCCCTTGACATATATGGACCCTATAAGCAAGGGCTTATTTCTGGACTCTCTAGTCTGTTCCAGTGATCTATGTGTCTATTTTTGTGCCAGTACCATACTGTTTTGATGACCGTAGCTTTATAGTATAGTCTGAAATCTGGGATTATCCTACCTCCAGCATTGTTTTTTTCCTCAACATAGTTTTGGCTACATAGTCTTCTTTGGTTCCATACAAATTTTAGGATTGCTTGTTCTAGTTCTGCAAAAATGCCATGGGGATTTGGGTAGGAGTAGCACTGAATCTGTAGATCGCTTTGGGCAATATGGACATTTTAACAATATTTAATTCTTCCAGTCCATGAGCATGGTATGTCTTTCCGTTTATTTGTGTCCTCTTCAGTTTCTTTCATCAGTGTCTTACAGTTTTCACAGTATAGGTCTTTCACCTCCTTGGTTAAATTTACTCCTAGGCATTTAATAATTTTTAATGCAATTTATTATTTTAATGGGATTGTTTTCTTAACAAGTTCATTAGTGTATAGAAACACATCAGAATTCTTTTCTGTATATTGACTTTGCATCCTGTGAGTTTATGTAATTCATTATTCTGATAGTTTTTTGGTGAAGTCTTTGATAAAGTCTATATAGTATCATGTCATTTGCACAGTTAAAATCTATTTTTAGTAGAGAATTTTTTACCATACAATTCGTCTATTTAAAGGGCAGGGGATGTCCTCCACACTAGACTGCCATGAAGGCAGTTCACAGTATCTTTAGAACCTAGTACAGTGGTGGACAAAGCAGGGCCTTGGCAAATGTCTGCTGAATGAACAGATGCCACACTGCTGCTGGCACCCAGCTGACTGAGAACAGGGAAATAGCCAGGGGACCGACAGAGACCCTCCTTTCCTTCAAATCATGAGGAACTCGAGGCTAGAGACTGGTGAGGCCAGTGATTCTGCTGCTGGCTGCCAGGTCCTGAACAGTCTCAGTCAGTAGCCCGTCTCCAGGGAAAAGTCTCCACGCGCAGGGCCTGCCCCCAGAGGCCCACAACAGGCTCGGCGAGGAAGCACGGCTCAAGGCAGGCCTGGGTTCTCAGTGGAGATGGAGGGGCGCAGGGGAAATACCCCTGCCTCGCTTGCTTCACGCGACCCGGACTTGCACCCTGCTCCCTTGAAGCGCCAGCCCCGATGGGGCACGGGTGCGGGGCTTGTTCAGCAACGCGGAGCAAGCGTGACTGATAGGGAGGCCCTGCCGGCTTCTGCCCACACGCCCCAGCTGGATCCTCCCGGTGCCCACTGAGCAAGCACAGCCTGCAGTCCTGCTGCCCATGAGCAGCAGGAGCAGCTCGGTCACGGGAGCCACGGCTTGGAGGGGGAGTAGCTGCAGGATATGGAAGCTCTGCGGTGATACGTTTCTCAAAGGCAGGGCCACGGCATCCTGACAGAAACAGGTAACCGACCCTGCTGGAGCTGCCCTTGGTCGGGACTGCTCCCCACAGCTCACAGACGGGCAGCTCCGGGGTTCAGAAAGACATTGAGCAACTCGCCTTAGAAACACAGCTCGTAAAAAGCCATCAGACATGGAAAAGCAGGCGGCCTGGCTGCAGAGTCTACTGGACAAGAGTTTCTATAGTCAGAGTGACAACTCACAGCCATTCAGCAGCATTTTCACCGTTTAAAGGCTTTCACTTCATTGGCATCTCACAACAACCCTGGGGGGCAGAGAGAACAGGAACGAGACAGAGGAGGAAACTGAGGCACGGAAGCTCTGCAGAGCCACAAACTGCGACTGGAAACCCAGGCTCCTGGCTCCGGGCCCGCTCCTTCCAGGCCCAGCGGAAGGCTCCGCTCCTACATCCTGGGAGGCGCGGGGAGGCGGGGAGGCTTACCTGAGTCCTGTGAGCAGCTGAAGCCCGTGTCCCCGGTGCTGCTGCTGTTCCCCAGAGGCTGCCTGCCGGCCATGAGCGCCGTGAGGTGTGGGGACAGGCCCAGGTCTGAAAGGCAGAGTCCAGCCTGGGGCCCGCTCTCTCGGCCACTGGACTCCATTCCGGCCGCACCCACGGGCCTCAGTCCCACTCCCTGGTCAGTGTTCTTGCAAAACGTGTTCTCAGCCCAGGGGACAGCAGGAAGCCCGTGAGTGCCCTTTTCCCTCTCTGCCCTTTGTTCCTCTCCCAGGGGAGTTCCACTGGGTCCCCCAAAGGGCAAACACGCACAGCCAGGTGGAAGAGAAACTGGGATGAAGCAGTCTTGGGAGAAGATCTTCCAGTTAAACACGGGACATGGGTGCACGGTCACTGCCCAAAGTCCTACTTGAACCCAAAAAAGCATTATTTTGAAAAGGGATGTAAACCCCAGCATGGGAGAAACATGTCTGTGAGCTGGCAGGTGGCGGGGACGTGACGCTGACCCAGCAGGGCTCAGGTGGGCAGGGGAGGCCTGGGAGGATGCCGGATCTCGCGCAGGGCCCCAGGAGCTCAGGACCACTGCCAGCAGGGGGCCCAACAGCCAGTCTCTATGGGAAGCAGCGGGTCCCGGGCACTGCTCTACTCAGCCGGGCTCAGGGTGTCAGGCCCCAGTGCCGGCAGGAGAGCAGAGGGAGGGAACGAGGCCTGGCCTTGGAGACGCCGCTGAGGCGACTGGCAGACAGACTGCCCAGTCAGCAGGGACCGCCCGCCCCTCACTCACTCCAGCTGGGCGGGAGACCAGTGCACCCCTCCTGGGAAGTCAAGCCAGCCCTCCCCTCAGCCCCGCGGACTCTTGCTGAGCCCAGGCCCTCCTGCAGCCCACCTCTCCCTCCCCCTTCACAGCAGCCGGGCCTCTGTGGCGAGGGCAGCTCGGATCACCAGGCATTTAAGGAAAGGCGCTGGCTTGAAAGACAGAAATGGAAGGGGGCGGGAGCTGAGAAGAAAGAAAAGGAAAAAAGTGGATCTCAGAGAGACAATGTGGGGCACTGAAAAAAACAAAAACTTTGAACTGGGAACCCTCAGAAAGTTGAGAAAACAGTGAGTCCACAAACGCAAGAGCTGGATGCTCAGGCGATCGTGCAGACAAGGAGCCTCGGAAACAAAAACAGCACAACAGGCAGGCTCCTCGCACCCCTGGAGGAAGGCCCACCGCCAAGCACATCCGATGACAGGCCACGAAGGACCTCCGTCTCTCCCCGCCCACTGCCATCGCTGGGCAGGTAGAGAGGGCACCGTGCTTGTCCTCTTCCCCGGGGATGGAGGGGGACAGCAAGGCAGCATGCAACGGGGCAGCCCTCGCTCAGCACTTCCCTTCCCTGGACCCAGGGACTCAGTCCCGAGGGGAGGGAGGGGTGTGGGCAGGGGCTGGGCCCAGAGCAGATCCCAAATAGATCAGCCCCTCTGGCCCTGGCCTCACAACAGAATTGTCTCCGCAGGGAACCTGGCTGGGGGCTGGGGGTTGGGGGGGGCCAGTCCCCTGCCAGCAGGGGTGGCTGAGCCCCAGTGGGTTTGGACATCTCTGAGGCTGCAGTGGAAGCCAGGGACGTGGCCTGGTCTCCACCAGTGGGCAGGATTGTGTGAGCCAGGTCACTGTGGCCTGGCTGGGAGGTGGGAAACGGAGGCATTGCTGCCTTCTGTTAACCCAGCGTTCACCACTGGGGAGCGGGCGCTGGTGCCCCGGGACCCTTCAGGGAACCACAGCACGCCCCAGCATGGGCCCAAGCCAGCCCCTCTTAGGAGATTAAAAAAAGGACACAATGCGGCAGGCCCCAGGGGTCAGGTTCAAAGCCTGGGGCAGCCAGAAAAGAGTCACCAGTGCCTTTTAGAGGAGGGCCACTCTGAGGTAAAGCAGGCACTGTGAAGGGACCAGAGACTGTGGCCTCAGGGAAAGGACTTCAGAGACCCTAGGTGACCCCAGGGAAGGGACTTGGAAAAGCAAGGCAGTAAATTCCAGGCCCAGGGGGTCGGTGGCGGGGGACCGCCTCCCTTGGCCTAGAGTCTCAAAGGTCGCCCCAGGCAGAGTGGCACCTTCTCTGCTCTGTTGCCTGCAGGCCATTAGGTTTGTGGCTTGGCCTGCCAGGGCCAGATGTTAGTGTTCAGCTCACCCTTTGTTACTAGAAGTCCCTGTCTACTCTAGGTGTGACCTATGCAGGGTGAGGTGGCACTGCCTGGCCACCTCCGGGCAGCCCAGAGATCTCACTTCCTAGGTGGGCCGCCAGGAATCTGCTGATCAGCCTCACACAGACAAGGTATTTTGGTGGCTCTGTGGCAGCTGGAACCCAGGGACACCTGAGCTTTGAACTTCTTTAGTTTGGGGCTAACAGAATGAGAAAGCCAAAATCTATTCGCTATGGCTGAAATCTACCTATGAAATAGACATGACGATGAGTTTATAATAATCCTAGCCTCCTAAAGTCAGCTGAGAAGCTCCCGGTATTTCTGGAATTCCACTCTGCCTTTGCTCAAAAGCACCATTAGGGAAAAGTTTATCATTCCACCTACTGATCCCTTCGTTTGCTTTCCAGCTACCCAGGCAAATGGGGAGGAACAAGCCTGTGACAGCCTCCAAATTGCTTCTTGCTGGCTTCAGAGCAGGCCGTGGCCTCTCTCCTGCCCCACGCACATTCTCTGAGGGTGAAGGAGGCGGCCCGGAACCAGGCAGGGGATGGGGAAAGCTGACTTGGGTTTGGGACTCAGTTGCAGATACCGGGTCAGGCCCCAGAGGGACCAGGGACGGATGGCAGAAGCCAGGGTTCTCCCTCCCAATTGGAAAGGCAGCTGGCATTCCAGGTATGGACCTGGCAGTGTGCAGAACTGGGCAGGGGTGGGGGGGAAGCAGGGGGGCACAGCACCCTGTGTTTCCAGGACCCTTCCTAAAGCTGCAGTCAGACCTTTGGGCAAGAGACATTAGGGCCCACCAGCTCCCTTCCTGGGGAGGCCACGGCCCAGACTCCATCATCCCTGGCCTCTCCTGCCCCAGTGCAGCCCACAGGTGAGAGGGTGCCCGCCAGCCGCCTTGGGCTTGCCAGCTTGACTGCTGTGTTTCCGGCCAGCTCAGCCTCACAGCCTTCCTGGACGATCAGCAGACTCGCGTGGCACACCTGGGCCCAAAGAGCAGGCGCTTCTCTGCCCTTTCTACCCTTTACTCCATTTGCTATCCTCATTTTTCTCCCTCCCCAGTCTTAAGTTGATTGGAATATATTTTTTGTCTAGAAGATAAGTGATTGTATAAAATCTGAAATCAGCTGAATGTACTCAGGCTCACAAGTCATACTTGGAAACATGGGCTTGCAAGGGGCAGGCATGCACATTTCAGCAGTTCAAACACTGGGACACAGAGAGGATTTTTTCTCAGATGGTCAAAATAAAAAGTCCACATCTTGCCTCCTCTCAAGAGGCAGCCCTCCACCAGCCCATGAAATAAATCAGTGATGCAGGTTTCCCGACCAGCCTCATGGGAAGGGTCTCGTACTGTCGCCACCACTGAGCATTAGCTACTTCTTCCCAGCCTCTTGAGCGGGAAGGCGGAAGCCTTCTCTAGTTCATGAGGACTAGTTAACTTGAGTGGTCTGAATGTCCCAGAGTCAGCAGCAAAAAATCAGAACTGCTGTTCCACTGGCTCTTCCCATAAATATGATCCAGTAAGTAAATGCTTTCAAATCTCTCTGCCAACAGCCTGCCCCAGGGATGGTCTCCCTCAAACATGACCCTAAGTGCCCAGCTACTTCCCCATCAGAAGAGCACAGTACTAATCGCTGGAGGCAAGACACGCCCCACGCAAATGTGGTGGGAGAAGATGAGCGGAGCAGTTGTCGCCTCTGGGAGGTGATCAGGTTAGAGGCCAGCAGGTGGGGCCCTCGGACAGGGGACTGGAGTGCCTGCGTTCCCCCCCCACACCCCCCCCCATGTGAGAACGCAGTGAGAAGATAAGGCGGAGGGGAGCCTCACCAGACAGAGGTCGATCCCATCACACCCAGACGCCCAGCCTCCTGAACTTGAGAACTAAATGCTATTTCAGCCGCCCAGGCTCTGCTACTTTGCCGCAGCCTGAGCTAAGACATTAACTGGGAAATCAAGGGCAGCATTGGCTAGTGAGAAGACGCCCCGACGTGTGCCCTGACAGGGTAACTAAGAGGAGCATGCACCCCCACCGCACAGCGTGGTCCGAACAGAGGACGTCCTACAAAACCCCGGAGCAGCTCGCTCCATGGTCACGGGCACGGGAGACAAGGGGAGGGCCCAGCCTTGTCAGAGACCAGAGACTGAAGAACACAGAGGGACCGACCTGCGTCTGGGGCAGAAAAGGGACCCAAGTGGGAACGGTGAAAGGTGAGCCGAGCCTGCAGTGAACAGCGCCGAACCCGCGCGCATGTCTGAGGTTTGAGAAATGCTCTGTGGCTGGGCCCAGGGGCAGATGGGGTGGGAATTCTCTCACTGTTTCCAGCTCTTCCCAAGTCTAAAATTATCTCAGAATAATGAGGTTTCAACAAATCTGTCCAACTAGAATCATTCCTCTGGCTCTCAACTGTGATGGGACTGCGCCCAGAAACTTGTTTGCTCCGAAATCAGTCACTGCTCTACCCGTACAAGACAGTGCCATTTCGGTGGGGGCGTGGACAGCCAAGGTTTGGCCCTGACACGTCCTGATCCGCAGGGACTCGTGGGGAAGCCAGCGGCCTGGATGGAAGGCCCCGGGAGGGGTGTATTCGGGGGTGAGCAGCCGAGGGGAGGGGCGCTGTAGCCAGGACTGTGCTCTTAAGAGACTGGAAGGACCGGGTTGGCCCAGGGCAGCAGGTAGCCTGGCCCCACGCCTGGGCTCTTCTTCCTCTTGGTAGAAGGCACCACACTTGAGGCCGGTGGGCCGCAGCAAGAGAACAGATGCCTGAACTCTGGGGTCCCTGCAAAGAGCCGCTCAGGGGGAAAGCTGCTTGGGACTCGCAGTGGATGCTGCCTGAGGGTGGGCACCCCTTCCCTGGTGGGTCCCGTTACCTGTGATCCTGTTGGAAATGCTGAGGAGCCGGGAAGTCCTCTGCCGTTGCACAAACGGCTCCCGGTAATACCGATCCCCGAAGCACATGCCCAGGAGCTCCTTGCGAACCGTCTTGTTCCAGAGCCCATAGATCAGGGGGTGGCATATGGCGCTGGTGAAGGACAGCCACGTGGCCCAGGTCTCCAGGGCCGGGGAGACACAGTTCTCCCCCCAGAGGGCCTCGGAGGTGATGACGACCATGTAGGGGCCCCAGGTGAGCGTGAAGGCGCCGATGACCACCAGGATGGTGGTGAGGGCTTTGCACTGGTTGGCCGAGTAGACCACACCCTGGAAGGCATGCCTCCTACTGCCCGAGGACGAGGTGGAGGCGCTGGAGTTCTTCCTCCCGCCGTGCTGGGCGTCCTCCTCCGCAGCGACCACGGTGCCACAGTGCACTTTGCGGGCCTTGAGCCTGGCCACGCGGAAGATGAAGCCGTAGCACACGAGCATGAGCAGGAAGGGGAGCAGGGCGCACCAGACCTGCCAGAAGGCGGTGTAGCCGGGCTCCCGGTGCCACGCAGCCACACACATCCACTTGAACTCATCAAACTCCACCGATGACCAGCCGAACAGAGGTGGCAGGCAGCCGACGAGGGAGTGGAGCCAGATGTAGACAAGTGCCACCACGGCTCTGTTCCCCGTGATCTTCATGGGGTACACCATGGGGTACAGCACAGCATAGTAGCTAGGAAGGGATGGAGGGTGCGAGAGGAGTTAGAGGAGAGGAGACGCACCGGGACGGGCACCAGTGCTTCCCCGGGCAGGTGGCTCTGCTGAACCTCCTCCAGCCGAGCCACGAGGCGGCTGCTGCTGCCCCCAGCCCTCCCCGGAGAAGCCCCCGGGCCCCGTCACACAGCTCTGCGGGGCTCCTCGCCAGGGAGCGGCTGGGCGCCCTGCTGGAGCCCGTTCCTGCCTGGGGTGGGGCTGGTCTGGAGGCATCTGCAGGAGAGCTAAGGGACCGAGCACCGCCCAGACCACGTCTGCTCTGCTGACGCTCTCCCATTTATATCAGGTTTCAGAGGTCATCAAAAACCGGAATGATACCCTGGGGTATGGGCTCACTTATTCCATAGCCATTCACGGAAGGCCTACCGTGTGCCGGGCAGGGGGCTGTGTACTGTAAGCCCAGGGAGAGGGGGTGGGAGACGGACACAGAAGTGGAGCGGCAGAATCTGGAGCAGTAAGGGCCTGGGTGAGCCCCCCAACACTGGTGTGAGGTCGTGGCCATCATCCGCATTTCACAGATGAGGACGGTATGTAGGGAAAGGACAGATAACGGGGGGAAGCAGCAACATGTAAACCCGGAATCTGACTCCACGGTCCCTGACACACGTGCCAGCAGCCGCTCACAGACCATCTTGTTCCAGGGTCCATGGGCCTAGGGTGGGCCCCACACCCAGGCTGATATGCAGGCCAACTGGAGACACCCACCCAGACTGCAGCCGCAGAGCAGGCTTCTTGGGGGAGATGCACACATGCCCAGGGCCGAAGAGAGGAGGCCCCGGTGCACGGCAGCTGAGGCGGACACCAGCCGCAGGAGGCCTGGAGGTGCCGGCGAGCCCAGCTTCCGGGAATGGCAGAGGTGGGCTGGCAGGGGAGAGGCGTACCAGGTGCCCTGAGTGCCTAGGCCAGCAAGGAACTGACCCTTTACCTGAGGTGGGCTCAATGAGGCACCACCCTTTCCAGCCATTTTACCCAACGGGGTGCTCTTTAAAGAGCAGGGCCTCCCACCAGGGCAGCGTGCTGGGGCATGACGCTGGAAATGGCTGTGGCACCTACCTCACATGTCACCTGTGAAGCCACCCTTCCCCCGGGCCTTTCCTGAGCCACCGTGGGCACCAGCTAGGGGATGGGGCCATCTGGGGGAGGGCGAGCAGAGGGGAGCGCGGGGCAGCACCCACCAGCCACCGGAAAGGCGGTGTTTGGGGCACATGCCGAGGAGAGGCTGGCTGCTCAGGGCACCAGGGCCTGGGGAGAAGCCTGGCTGGCTAAGGGTGGACACCGGGCCATGTTCGCGAGGCTGGTCAGCCCACAAGGCCTGCAGGGGGCTCCCTGGCTTCACACGGCTCGTCTGTCTGCTGTGGCCCTAGGGAGCCGGCGTAACCTCAGAGCTCTTCCGTCAGATGGGACTCGGAGCCTGGGCCACAGGTCCGCCCCTGGGATTGCAAGGGCAGTGGGGCAGCCAGGGGTGCTGCCCTTCCAGCCACAGCAGTGCAGAACTGAGTCTCCACCCGGCCACTACTGTCCCCTTTTCCTTCTAGGGGGTGGAACCCATACGGTCTGTGCTCCCAACCATGACCCCCAGGGCACCCTAGGCCGTTCAGGGTCCCAACAGGTGAATCAGGCCTTGCTGGTGGTCCCCTAATGCTCGCCAGGTGACCGGCCACGTCACTGGCCTGAGTGGCACATGAAATGTGGGGAGGCAGCTCAGTGAAAGTGGGAGGCTCTTCAGGAGGTTTCCTTCACTTTTAAGAAGAAACCAGGCATGGGGTTCTCCTTTTCTCTGCCCCTTTAAATAGTGTGCAGGCCCTCTGATCCTGACACCTGAGGGGCCGCAGCTCAGTGCCAGGGGGCTGGGGGAGAGCCCAGGCCTGGGGGTGTTGACTGCCCCGCTCCACTCCAGCTCTGTTCCGGAGTCACCAAACAACCACGATTAATAAGTTGTCCCTTCTGGCTATTCTCAAAGCTGTTAGTATAGTTACTTCAGGGCCAGATTTCTTTACAGTAACAGACGGTATTTACATCACTCACCGCCTGAGGTCTGGGGTGTAAACAATTCCCGCAGGATGTGGTGGTGATTTCCCCACGAGTCCTGAGCCCCTCGGGGTGCAGGCAGCCAGGTGCCAGCTCCCAAGCCCCTGGCCACAGTGCTGTCCGTGTGCAGCCATGCCCTCCCAGGGTTACCGTGGCTGTGGGACTCTTGGGGGGAATTGGGGCAAAACTTACACTCGCTGAAATGCACAAGTCTACACGTCTGTCAAGATACAGAACATTCCCACATCTGTCCACAAAGGGAAAAATGGATTTGGTGGATGTGCAACTTCATTTTTTAAACAGAAGCCTCTGTTAGGCCCAGCTGTGGGTTCGAAGGAAAATACAGAACAAACGCAATCCCCTATTCCCCTGCATGTCGACAGAGGCCCAAACGGAGGGCTGTTCTGCCTTCTGTGCTCTTCAACTGCCTTCTGAGGCTCTCGAGTTTTTCTCCGACTCATTTTCAGACAGGAGCTCAAGCACAACCCTTGGTCCCAAAAAGAGCCTTCATGATGTCACGTGTCACTGAAAAGCTGCTACTGTGGCCAAAGCTTCGCTCTCCTGCAATGACACCAGACTCCCGTTGCCGTAAGATAGCTCGGCTAAACCCCTAGGCAAGCCCTCGACCCCCTACAGCTGCCTTGGGTGAGCACACACCACACCGAGCAACCTCCAGCAGGAGGGACGCTCTTCCCAGCAACTCACCGTCCCACCTGCTTTCATTTAGTAAAATAAGCTTTTCAGAGCTGGAGTTTCACGCACTCCAGTGTGGAATGAGAACAGAAGTATTTTAAATGGCACCTTCAAGGCTAGCCCAGAGCTGACCACATTATGGACTAATTCTCAGTAAAATCCTTCCCCGGTGGAGTGGCGCTCTGTACCCGGATGCAATTCCACATGGCCGGTCCGGGATGCTGGCTGTGGATAAAATGAAAGCTCCTGTGGCCCGGATTCTCACCTGGCCCTGGTCGGCTAGCTCCCTACACACGTGCGGGCAATACATTGTCATTGACTCTGTATAAAGAGCCCTGCCCAGTGCTCTGGGCGATACGGTGGTACGGCTGCAGGAGAGCAGAGCAGAGGCTGGAGTGGTGGCAGCGCTGAGGACAGAGGCCCAGAGGCAGAGAGCGGCTTGCTGCCTACAGACTCACTCTGAGTGAATGGGATTTCAGTGACTGACCTGCCACCGTGGAAATGAAGTCGGGTATAAGCCCTTTCACCCCAAGAACGTTCCGCTGTCATTTATTTGGTCACATTGAATCCATAGTGAACTTGCCTGGGGCTGAAACCCATTGACAAGACAGTTGGTGATAGTCAGCAGGGTTCATTGGTGACCAAGGAAAAAGAACAGGCGCCCTCATGGAAGGAGTGTCCCAGCGGCTGCACCTGTGGACACATGGTCCTGAGAAGGGGTGGGGGACTGGGGTCCACCCCAAGAGAAAGAAAATTTGTCGCTGGCTGAAATGGCGTCACTACAAAGTGCTGTGGAAATAGTAAAGACCCGAGAGGAAGCAGCAGGAGAGCGCAGGCCGCCAGGTGCCGCGGGGCAGGCCGGGGGTGTGGTGGAGCCCTCAGCCCCAGAGATGGAGGAGCGGGGGTCTGACGAACAGGTGGGGGTGGAGGTCCTGCCGGTGCCGCACGCATCGGCCCCTCCTCGGGGGAGACCCCACCTGGTTGAAAGCTGGTGGGAAGCCAGGACTCGGCGACCGCGGGTTCCTCCAGGAGAGCTGCAGCCCCTCCCCAGCTTGTGGAGCATCCACGCTCTGCTTCTGTCCTCAGGCTCAAGCACAAAGGGAAATACGGTGTGCTTCTCGGAGGAGGAATGCAAAGGGCCCTGTGAAGGTCACGAGGACCCAGATGTGGGTCGGTTTGAAAAGGCAGGAGCCGACAGACAGAAATTGGACGCCTGGAGCTGTGGCAGCAACTGCGACCGGAGCAGCGGTTCCGGCCGCTGAGGACGAAGCAGACGCAGAGACGAAGGAAGCCACAAGATCGGCCTGTGTGTCTGCAGGACTTTCTGCTGGAGAGGCTGGAGAAGGTGGGTGTTGTGGGGCCCACCCGTGGTCCTTTTGGGTAACTCATGTGAGTAGAACTGGTTTGAATACAGCCGGGATGACCACCTGGTGGCAATGGATCTCCTCAGGCTTGGGGGTTATTATAATTTGTTGTAATTGTTGTTATTTGTATATTGTCATAGATTATTGTCTTGCCAATGGGTTTCAGCCCTGGGCAAGTTCACTATGGATTCAATGTGACCAAAGAAATGATAGTAGAATGTTCTTGGGGTGAAAGGGTTATACCAAACTTTATTTCCAGGTGGCAGGTCAGTCACTAAAATCTGGTTCACTTAGAGGGAGTCTGCAGGCAGCAAACCGGTCTCTGCCTCTGAGCCCCTCTGTCTGCACTGCCGTCCTCGGGGCCTCTGTCCTCGGTGCTGCCACCACTCCAGCCTCTGCTCTGCTCTCCTGCAGCCTTGCAGCCCTGCCATCATGTCACGCCCAGAGCACTGGGCGGAGCTCTTTACATAGAGTCAACAGCCATGTATTGCCCACAGGTGTGCAGGGAGCTAGTCAACCAGGGCCAGGTGAGAATCCTGGCCACAGGAACTCTCATTTTATCCACAGTTATGACATTTAGTTAACAGTGTTCCAGCTTCCTTGCACAGGGACGGTTGCAGAGGACTGAGGGCACATAGATTGAGAGGCAGGAGTCCTAGAGGGGTGGAGTGTGGATAAAACGAAGGTTCCTGTGGCCAGGATTCTCACTGGCTCTGGCCGGCTAGCTCGCTACACATGTGTGGGCAATACATTGTTCCTGACTCTATATAAAGAGCCCCTGCTCGGTACTCTGGGTGGCACCGTGGCACAGTTGCAGAGCAGAGGCTCGAGTGGTGGCAGCACTGAGGACAGAGGCCCTGAGGATGGCTGTGGGGGCAGAGACCGGCTTGCTGCAAACTTGCTCTGAGTGAATGGGGTTTTAGTGATTGACGTGCCACTGTGGAGCTAAAGTTGGGTATAACGCTTTCACCCCAAGAACATTCTACTGTTATTTCTTTGGTCACCCTGAATCCATAGTGACCTTGCCTAGGGCTGAAACACAAAGGCAAGACACTGGCCTTTCAGGGTGAATCTTGCTTTAGTCAGCTGCCCGGTAGATTTCTTTGGCCAGGCTTCTCAACTGGGGACAGCCTGTTCCTTGGGGGGGCACGTGGTAACGTCTGGAGACATATTGGGCTCTAACAACTGGGGAGGTGCTGCTAGATCCAGTGAGCAGAGGCCAGGGACGCTGCTAACGGCCCTAACCACCTACACAGGGCAATGCGTCCCACAAAGAGTTACCGCCCTTGCTTTTCGGCACTCCCACCTTCTTAATAATGCCCCCCTCTGTCTCCAGGCCCATCCATTCCCTCTGCTGTTCCTGCCTCACACGTTTCCTCTCGCCCCTTTGTCTCTTCCTCTCCCTGACCCCCTATGTCTGCACCTCTCCATCCCCCCCCACCACCACACACACACATGTTGCTTTTTCAGGTTTTCCACATAGCCAGCAGCTATGTGGCCTCCAAAAATCACTAACATCTGGGAAAGCGCGCTTACTGAATTGAGGGGAAAGGAGTGCATACACGTGTCAAACGGTGGCCGTGTACAGGACAGCATCAGGTCACCCAGTCAATCTATTGCTAAGCCACACGAGTGACCAATAATAAGAGAGAAATCGCATCTGCCAGGAGACGACCTGAATTCCACAGTAGTCTGCATTTTGGAGACATGAAGGTCTGGCCAAGGCCCTGTGAGCCCACCCACACCTGCAGGTGGAAATGCACTTCTTTCTGAAGAGAAATAGGCCTGGTAACTGTCTCCGCGGCGAGTCCTCCCTGCCTGCGCAGTCGCCAGGGCCACGGGCCGGGCTGGGCCTGGATGAATGCCCTGGGGGTGAGCGTGTGCCCACGGCCCCACCCGCCCACCCTCGCGTTCCCGCTCTGTGTGTGCACCAGCACCAGGCTGGCCGCTGCACGACACTGAGCTCCTGTGGGCAGGGGCCATGTCCTGTTCATGCCGCATGCCATCCCCAAGGGCTCAGCACTGGCCCATTGCGGGGCAGACCCCTGAGGGCCACCTCGGGAAAGGACAGGGGCCCTCACCCCACTCTGTGGTGCCTTTGGACGGCATGTTCTGAGGGCGTGAGTGCTGCTGGTAAGGATGGCGCTCTGGCTTCCTGGACCGGATCCAGGCAGGAGGCGGGCAGCGGGCCCATAGGCCACGGGCATCCACGCAGGCCGGCCCGGGAGGTCCTCACCTCTGCTGCTGGGAGGCGGCCCTCACTCCGGACCTCGGGGCCCAGGGCCCAGCAAAGGAGAGTCAGGAATGAATGATTTCCCTTTAGAAATAAATTAAAGCAAGAGTGAGATCGTTTTCCTCCCACTGCCACCAAACTTCCGACTCTGGTTTATGTCTCAAAAGTATGCTAACAAATGCTGTAGAATAAAAATCTGTGCAATTCTCTGAAGGGCAACGTGCCTTTTATACATCAAGAATCCTGAAAGTATGTTTACTGTCACCAAAAACACAATTCCACAAGCACAAGTTCCCTAAAAGTGCTACAGAGTCGTAAGCTAACGAGTGGCTGTGAAAACAAGTGATGGCACACCCGCAGGGTGGGACACAGCCGTGCCCTCACAGGTCACTGCTATGTCACAAAACCACATGTACCATGAGCCTATTTTCAAAATGTACTGTATGTAGCCCAAACGTAATAGAGGCAGATATGCTTCTGCCTGGTGGGATTATGGATACCTTACTTTATTCTTTATATTTTCCTATATTACTTTTATTATTGGATTGAAAAAAAGGATATTTAACAAGCCGACTGCCAAGTTCTCTCCTACTGAGTCCTTCAGTCTGCAGCCCGTGACTGCTGCACAGGGCCAGCAGGACCCCAGCCTTGGGCCTGGTGAGTGGGGGGGGGGGGGCCTGTGCTCTGGGGGGACCAGCCAGCCGCCACTCACTGGCCGACAAGCTGAGGACCCCAAGGGAGCCGGGGACTTGTGTGACCCAGTAACATCCCTGGCTGGGGCCGTGTGCCCTGCTGACCCCACTGCCAGCTCCCCAGTTCTGTAAATCACGGCAAACCTGGACCCACCCTCCCTGCCCTCAGGAAGTCAAACCTTTGCATGTGATAAATGAAGTGGCCATTGGCAAAACCCTAACAAGAAGAATCTAGGGTTTGGAAACTCGCTGTTGGCACCTCCCTCAAAGCCCGGGAATCAGAAGGGGCCGGCGGAGACGGCTGGAGGGCCCCGCAGTGCCACTTACTGTTTGGGCAGCTCTGCCTCGGGGTGGAACTGCCAGATTTCGCACAGCACAGACCATCCCTCCAGGAAACACCGTGTGTTCCCCAGCTGTCCTCCTCCCGACCCTCCGTCCACCCTGGACTGTGCTCAGGTTTACGGCCCTGCAGTGTGGACAGGAGAGACTGTGTCCTCTGTGGCCCCCCCAGTCCAGCTCTGGCCCGACCCAAGGCAACAGCCAGCAGGGCTTCCCTCCCCTGCTTCTGCTTCTCATCTACAAACTGAGAATAAGAGGTTTCTAGAACTTTTCTTTTTCGCACCAGTACCTCTTTTAAAAAAGTAATACTACCTGCAACAAAGATCCGATGGAATCAGAGGCACCCTGGTTGAAGGGCTGGAGGAGGGAGCAGAACTCTGCCTTGCCACCCTCCCCAGCAGACAGCCCCGGCACCCCACCCCACCCCCATGGACGGGGACACCTGGACGTCACAGGGCCAGAGGGCACTCCGGCTCGCCCTAAGTGGGAGGCAGGCTTACCGGTCGACGGCGATGACCCCGAGGGTGAGCATGCTGGCCGAGCTGATGAGCAGGTAGAGGAGCCCAGAGAAGCTGCACCAGACCACACCGAAGACCCACTCCCTGCGCACGGAGCTGGTCGCCACGAAAGGCAGCACCAGCACGGACAGCAGGAAGTTGGACAGCGTCAGGCTGAAGACGAACTTGTTGCTGAGCGTGAGGAGGTAGGACTTCCTGTACAAGGTGACCACGACGAGCAGGTTGCCCAGGCAGACAAAGGCGGCGATGACGATGATGGCGACGGACTCAGTGACGCCGCTGCCGCCTGGCCCTCCCCACTCCTCCGTGAGGTCGCTCAGCTCCTTCCTGGGTTCGAGGGAGGAGTTGAGGCTCATGGTCAGTGTGCCTCGGCGTGGGCTGGGCAGAGCATGCTGGACAGCTGGAAAAGCAGGGACAGGAAGACATCCATCACATCAGAGTGCACGTGCTTTCCACTGGAGCAGCCCAGGTGGCCGGCCACCCGGCCAGTCCAGACCCTCAGGCAGTGTCTCCTGCTCATGCTCTACATACGTGGTCTGTTTTCTACAGCCGACTGTGTGTGACTCACTGTGGCCCCTTGGACGATGCATTCCTCCAGTCGGAACTACCCTATCCATTATCCCTGAGGCCGACTGTCCAAAGCCTTTAGTGTGTGTAAGAGTCACACAGCGTGCCAGCTCAAGGAGCCGCTTCCCGGGCTCCGCCATTACAGGCGCTGGCCCTGGAGAGCGGGGCACAGCCTGGGGACCTGCAGGTTGAACAAGCAGGGGTGGGTGATGTTACAAGTGGTCTGTGGGGTGCACTGTGGACTGCTGCTTTAGGACCCCTGCAAGTCAGGGCGGTCCCAGGACCATCAGGAACGGTGTCACAGAAATGCAGGATCTCAGGCCTGCCTCCGATGCCCTGAGACAGCATCGGCATCTGGATTTGTGAGCCCAGTGGAGTTTGACAAAAGATTATCGTAGGAACGGTTCTGAGGTCCCTGTGCAGTTTACACAAGCACTGTTCATACAGAGACATCGTCATTGCTCATCAGACACGGAAGGAGGTCAAGGGCTCGAGCACTAATCAGAGTGGGTAAGTGGAGGTACAGGCTGAGTCTCGGCCCACAGACACCATTCTCTGCCAGGGGCAGTCCCTGCTCTCAGGACACCAGCCCAGGATCGAGGCTAAAACCCAAGCTTGACACATTTTAACATCCTGCAGACAAATATTTCTCCAAAATTTTCATCGACTTTAATCAGCCAAAAAATCGTTTCCCCACCAGCTCTTGTTCCCAACAAGACACCATAAAGAAAGGAAAGACCGCTTCCCATGAGCCAGACAACAGGAGGCCTGGTGCCTAAGTGGCCTACTCATGGGAGCAGAGCCTTCCCCACAGGCCCCCTGGTTGGTCTGACCTCTGTGTGAACACCTGTGGCCAGAGGGCGGCAGCAGGGTAAGAAAGGAGCCCTTCCCGTTACCCGGGTCCTGGAGGCCGTCAGGAAGCCCCCGTCTACCAGGCCTGACCACTGGGGGCCATAACCACAGACCCAGGCCTGTGCGCTTGAGCAGCACCCCGTGCTTCCAGTCCCTCCCCCCTCAACAGCCTGTAAAGGCTCCACGGGTGACTGGATTTCCCTTCTCCAGATTCCATCTCCCAGGCTCCTCCCACGGCTTCCGGACCCTCGGCTCACTCAGACTCCCTGCTTCGGACTTGCTCCCCGGCGCCTGTGACCCTCCTTATTTGTGGTCCCCACACTGAACAGACCATTCCAGATGTGGCCTGGTAAGTGCTGGGCACCGAGGGGCAGCTTCTCCATGATCAGGACGACCTTCTGATAGTGACTCTAGAATGCATTTTCTCCCGGCAGCCACAGCACCCTGTCGTGCTTATGTAAGTGTGTGGGCAGCTGACACCCGAATTTCTGGGAAGGCAGGTGTCCCCAGTCTTGAACCTACAGAATTAATGTTGGAAAGACTAAATACAAAACATTATTTCTACTCAATTTTACTTTGTGCATTTTGGCCTGTATTTCCAGGCTGCTAAAATAATCTGAACTTTGATTCAGTTACACAATATATTAGTTACTCCAGCTTTGTGCAATGGATACGCTTAAAGGTCTGCCTTCTGCGTGTCTTCATGAGGTTATTTGTGGGTTATGTCTATTTTTTGAGTTCTGGATTTTGTTAACTCATAAGTAAATTACTTCCTGGTGTCTTAAAATGAAGGTCCCATATGAGCATAGGATTCTTAACCACACAAGTGAGAGCATCATGGGAAAGAAAAGAGACTTTGAGTCATTTAGACAAAGAACAAAATGGGAGAAAATTTATAACTTGTATCACAGGGAAAGGGCTAATTAATTTACAGAGAATTCCTAAAACTATAGAAAGAAAAAGATGAGAAAACAGGAGAGTGGATAAAAGACATAAACAACAACAAAAAACCTGTAGCTCTGTGAGGTGATGGGTGTTAGTAAACATTTTGTGGCAATGACTTCACCATATATACATATTGACCAAATTATGTTGTAAACCATAGCCTTGTACAATGTTATGTGTCAATTATATCTCAAAACTGGGGGAAAGACACAAACAGAGTCCACAGAAAAAGATATACTATTCATACTTAAACATATGAAAAAATGTTTAATTTCATTCAAAATAGTAGAAATGCACTTTGAAGCTATACTGGAAAACCATTTTCCTTCCAGGATGGTAAAAATTCAAAAGCTCAGCAGCACTCTTTGCTGGTGCGGCTGTGGGCAAACAGGCAGGACCCAGCACGACTATAATGCATGTTCCCTTTGACCCAGTAGTTCCATTTCTGTGTATTTATCCTGAAGATACAAGTTTTTAACATGAAATAATAGAAGCACAAGGTTATTTTATTTACTGAGGCATTAGTTGTTTAAAACAATGTGGAAATATGTGAGAAACAAAGGGAAATAACACATTTGCACATAAATGTTTACTTATGCAAAAAGAAAAATAGGAAAGATCATCAGAAACTAAGATACAAATAGAAGTAAAATTTCTCTAAGTTTTTTTATAGTTTTGATTTTTGAACTATGTAATTTTTGCAAACTAAAAATGTTAAAAGAGGATATAAAAATAAACATAAAATTGATTGCAAATGAAAAAAAAATAAGTCTATTATATTGAGAACATAACCATCCAGGAAAGAATTAAGTAAGTTTAAATCGAGGATAAAAGATATAAAAATAAACATAAAATTGATTGCAAATGAAAAAAAAAATAAGTCTATTATATTGAGAACATAACCATCCAGGAAAGAATTAAGTAAGTTTAAATATAGTATTTGAATTATAAACCCTTAATGGTATACTGGGCACTGGATATATTGGCTATATATGGTTACATTGGCTATAAACCCTTAATGTCTATGGACAAAAGATGCTCAGTTCAGTGAGTGGGTTAGATGTGGTCGGTCGCTGGTGTTGTTACTGCACGACTCAAAAAGTTTGAGTCATACACATGTGTAGGGCCCACGTTTCCTGCTGTGGGAGAAAGGAGCTTGGAATCAAGGCTTGGAGAAAGGTTGAAAAGCACCCTGTGGTATTGGCTTGGTTTATGGAGAAACCAGTGTGAACTCACCATTCAGATATGAACACAAAAACAGGTCCAAGGAAATACCCCAGAATGCAGTCAGAAAAATCAAGAAATTAGTAACAGAAAATAAAAGGCAAACGAAAGAATGAGCAGGAGGTGCTCTGTGACGTGGAAGTACTTTACCCAAGCAAAGCCGAGTGTTTTTCACTTACGGAATTGTTTCTGGCAACATGGTGTACTTGGTCAAGGTGGACATTTTTCCTGCTCCAAATTCATACGAATGCTGGGTTAAATATGATGCGAAATTAAATTTTAGAAAAAAGCCAGAGTTGAAAAAGGAAACAGAAAACTCAAAGCCAGAGTTACAATCTCATACTTGTGGCCAGAAAGGCATTAGACTTAGTGCAAGACCCCTAGGGCTGAGATTTTTATAGATGGATGGGAAGATGACTTTAAGCCCCACAGGCAGAGAACTGGAACCTGTACCCTGGAAAGAGTGGGCCCTATAAGGGCTGCCCCTCCATGGAAAAGGGATTAGAAAAATTCCTCCCCCCGGCAGGGGGAAGCAGCTAGAACACAGTCATTTATCTGAGGTTCTGGATGGAGTGCAGATTTTTTTTCCATGAGAAAGCAAACACCGAGTCACGTGCCCTGCTGATGACGGTACTGAATTTATCCCTCCTTCAAGCTGCAGAAACCCAAGCTAATAAATCCATGCAAAAATAAATAATGGCAGAAGTAAACACAAAATGGCTCTAGAGTGAATTTCCACACTCACAAAACAAACACTTAATGGAAGAGAGTGCATAGCATTCACCATGAGGGAGAGTCAATAAAATGAAAAACAGAATCAACATCCCAAGAACTTGACTTAATAGAAAAATATTTGAAAGGGACTACACAATAAATACAGTGCAAAGCTTTAAGGGGAAAAGAGGTAGAAACCATAAGAAAAAAGGGAAGGGAAGATCATGAAAAATAATGAGCAGTTAGGGAAAGAACCAAACAAATGCTAGAAATTTTGATCTTAGTTAAAAATTTAAAACTCAATGGGTACGCAGAATAGTAGATTTAGCAACAGAGAAAGATGGTGACCTCGAAGACAGTTCTGAGGAAATTATCCAGAATGCACTCAAAAAGATTAAGAAAACGAACATATGAAATAAAAGTCGAGATACGAGACAGACGGGATAAGAAGATCCAACATACGCTCACTAGAAGTGGCCGTGGGAGAGACGAGCGAGAAAGGGGCAGCACGTTCTGTTGGCTGTCTACCCAACAACCACCCACAGGGAGACCTCTGACTTCGTGCTGGTGCCCAGTCCTCCTCCCTGGGACTCGAGAAGGCGCATCCCATCCCTCGTTCTAGAACCTAGAGCTTGACTGGCCTAAGCTAGTCATGGTGTTCCCCTTCTCCTTGCGGTTCTGGCACGTCAGTCAGAGGAGCAGTCTGGCGGGGAGTGGGGAGTGGTGGTGGGGTGGGCGTGGAAGGATGGGGATTTCTGGGATGAGCTGCTTCGATACCACAGAGACACTGGGAAGAAAAGTCTTTTCCTAGTGGCCCTAATGGCAAAGAGGGCATGGCTGGGGCAGCTATCCTGGGCTTACTGAGGTGCTTCCAATACCGTGAGCATGGCAGGCAAAGCCTGGATCCGTGAGCTGCGGAATGAGCAGACCTGTGGTCAGCTTCACCCAGGCTTCTCGTTAAGTGAAGTAAGACATTTTAAGAAATTATTTTTTAAGCTGTTTTCAGTTAGGTTTCTGTTGAGTACGAAGCATCCAACTGACATGAGGTTGGACCTCCACTGTCTGCATTGAGGCTGATGCAGTACTTAGAGGTATGAACGAACACTTTCTAGAATTAAACACGAGTCCTCAGAATGAAAGAGCATATCGGGTTCTAAGAGTAAATCACAAAGTCCACACCAACATACATCACAATGAAAAAGGACAAACACTGAGATACAGAGAAAACATTAAAAGCAAATTTTCCCATGAAGACGTAGCCACTGGGTAAACTCTTCTTTGAAGAAAACAGAAAATAGAGGACAGAAAACAGTGGAAACTGCTCTTGAACGTACTGAAAGAGTTCCTACCCTAAAGCTCCACAATACCACTCAAGAAAGGGCAGGGCGTCCTGCTGAGGTGTGTTTATTTGCATGAAGTGCCTGGAAGGGTGTGGCACCAGTAAGCCTCACTGGCATGCCAGGGGGACCAGTTCAAGAGCTCACCCTGGCCTCACTTTGGGGAAGGACCCTTTCTTCACGTTCAGGCCCTGGCCACGGGGGCCAGGACTCAGGCTGGAACTGCTGGAGGACGACCTAGCCCACCACAGGGCCCCCGGGCCAGCAGGCAGGGCCCGGGCTGGCAGCGGCTCTCGAAGCGCTATGGGAGGGAGCTCACAGGCAAACAAAGCTGAGGGAGTGAGAGAGGCAGGAGGAGAGGGGGCTGCAACGAACCCAGTCACAGTGCTGCTGGGGTGACCTGCGATCCGGGACCTCCTCCTCCTCAGCTCCACGCACGAGCCGGGCGTTCCCGTCATGTAGGCTGACGTGCCTTGGTTTCCATCGCTGGCGGCTGAAGAGGGTCCGGACTGATGCTGGGACGTCCTGGGGTCTGCGCCGACACTGGGACCCCACCTCCCTGCCGTCAGCACAGGGCATCCCTCTTCACAGCAGGACTGAGCCCTCAGCTCTGCCTGCGGTCACCTGGGCTTCTCCTTCCTGCCAGGGGCCGCACCGCACGGGTGCCTACAGTGCGGCTGTCAGATGCCCCAGACCCGAGCTCTCGCCCCTCGGCACAGACATCGCCCACGGCTCAGGCCTCGATCCGTTCCTTTCTCCCTACACCCTTGAGAACCTTATCCATCTCCAGGGTGAGGCTTAATTATTATTAACTAATAATAGTCAGTATTTGCAAAACACCATGCAACATACAATGAACTCTTACATACATCATCTCATTTGGCCTTCTCAGTAACTTTTTGAGGTAGGAATGATACTTCTCCCCATTTCGAAGAGGCACCTGACGTAAGGTTAGGAGCACGAACTCTGGAACTGGACACCCAGCTCTGCGACTTCCCGGCCCTGTGACCTTGACATGTCACCTGACCTCTCTGGGCATCAGCTTCCCCGGATGCCCTGCTCAGAGTACCCACCTCCTGGGTTGTGGGAGAAATCATTGTGTTCATTTTTGTACCACTGTTAATACTATACTTAGACTCGTGTCTGGTGCCACAGAAGTGTTTGTCAAGTAAATAAAATGGGGAAACTGAGGCTCAGAAAGGTTAAGTGCCTAATTCAAGACAGCAGTAGGTCACAGCTCTGCAACTTGGTCCCATGGCTGTGCGACCACTGTCTCTTCGATACCCCCACTCGCCAGAGCAGATGAGGTTCAGCACGGCTTAGTGCAGCCCGTCCGCACTCCAGACTCCCCACCCGCCAACCCCTTTGTGCGCCTTCGCTCCAGCCCGCTGGGCCGCGAGCCCCATTCCCAACCTGCTGTCGCTTCCGCCCTCCTCTACCTGGAACGGGCTCCCTGTGTGAGGAATGAATAAAGATTTACTAAGTCTAAATATGTTATTGATCTGTTGGTATAATAACTTTACAGAAAGAGGGAAAGAAACAACCAAGAAAATGGTCAGGAGGTTGAAGCTTCAGAACAACAAAAAAAATGCCAAGTCATGACCTTGAATTTGGCAACGATTTCTTGGCTATGACACCAAAGACACAAGCAAAACAACAACAACAAAAAATAGACCAAGTGGATGTCATGAGAAGTTTTAAAATGTGTGCATCCAAAGATACTATCAATAGAGTGAAAAGGCAACCCACAGAATGGGAGAAAATATCTGCAAATCATCTATCTGAGTAGGGATCCATATTCAGAATATATTGAGAACTCCTAAAATTCAACAACAGTAGAACAAACAATCTGCATCCAAAACAGATACACAAAAGGCTGTCAGCACATGAGAAAACGCTCAGCAGCACCGGTCACAGGTAGAGCAAATCAAAGCTACAGGGAGGTAGCACTTCACACTCGTTAGAGTGGCTACTGTCCAAAAAAACAAAAAACAGGAAAAAAAGTGTTGGCAAGGATGTGGAGAAACTGGAATCCCTGTGCACTGTTGGTGGGCATGTAAAATGCTACAGTGGAAAACACTGTGGAGGTTCCGCAAATAATCAAATACAAAATTACCATATGATCCAGCAATTCCACTTCTGGATGTATATCTGAAATAACTGAGAGCAAGGTTTGAAGAAGTATTTGCACACCTATGTGCATAGCAGCATTATCACAATAGCTAAAACATGGAAGCAACCCAAGCATCCACTGACTGATGACTTGATTAAGCAAAATAGGGTAGGTCCATATGGTGGAATATTATTTAGCCTTAAAAAGGAAATTCTAACACCTGCTACAGCAGGATGGACCCCGAGGACATTATGCTAGGGGAATAAGCCAGATGCAAAAAGACACCGACGATGACTGCACATCTGTGAAGTATTCAGAGTCCAGTACTGTATATAATTCCAGGCACAGACAGCAGAATGGTGGTTGCCAGGCTGGGGGGAGGAGGGGCAGTTAGTCAATGGGTTTAGTTTTGCAGGTTGCAAAGCGTTCTGAGACAGATGGTGGTGACGATCACACAGCATGAATGTACTTAATACCCATGAACTGTGCACTTAAAAATGGCTAAGATGTACCACTTATGTCTTAGTATTTCACTGCAAGAAAGCAAGTTGAAAAAAAAACCCACCATGGTACCTTCTGTTTAACCTCTCCTCGCCACAGGGTCATAAAATGAAGGGAGTGGCTATCAAGGTGGCCTCTCAGCCACTGACAGAGGAGAACCACAGAAACCTGCAGATGGGGGTAGCCCACAAACTATCAGCTGAGTTTTTTCAAAGGGCCACTGGCCTCGCTCCCAGGCCCCCACCAGCACCACGGAGGCTGCTGACATGTCTCCCGGGCAGCACAGACAGGAGGGTCCACTGCAGCCTCCCAGAAACCCCACAGACAACCAGCACACGTCTTGGGGATGATGCCTCACTCAGGAGAGTCGTGAACCCAAGAAAAAAGTGCTTTAGGAAAGGAGAGAAAGCGGTGGTTTGACCAGCTCCCTGGGGAGGCTCTAGCAGCCCAAAGGCCAGCAGTACCTTCCTGCAGAAGTAAGCCTTCCAGCCCCACCCAGGCAGCCATCTGTCCTTCGCCAGGCCACGGATACCCCAGCCTGACCACACCACCCCCTGGGAGGAAAGGGCAGGAGGGCTGCCTCTCCCGGGCCAGGCTCAGGAAAGCCTTCCTGACACCGGCCCTCGGCCATCCTGCCTGGAACCGGGAGCCTCGCAAATTCCAAAGGAAAGCTGGGTCAGACTGGGTCAGAACAGTCCAAGGCAGTTCCGAGTCTACCCGACATGCTGCCAGAAGTGGCTGTGGACAGTCACGGCAACTGGACCAAATGATTTTCAGGAGGAATATATGACCTGCCCACAGCATTTAGGCAAGAAAAAGCAATGAAAGGCATCCAAATTGGGAAGGAAAAAGTAAAACTATCACTATTTGCAGATGATATGATACTATATACAGAAAACCTTACAAAATGTCACTCTAAGACTATTAGTACTAATACATGTATTTGTAAATTACTGGATACAAAATTAAAATACAGAAATTGGTTACGTTTCCACACACTAATAATGAGCCATTGGAAACAAAAATTAAGAAAACAATCCCATTGATGATTGTATCAAATACAATAAAATATCTAGGAATAAATTTAACCAAGGAGGTGAAAGATTTATACTCTGAAAACTATAAGATTTTGATGACAAAAACTGAAGACAACACAAATTCCATACCTGTGGATTGGAACAATTAATATTATTAAAATATCTATACCACCAAAGCAAGCTACAGATTCAGTGCAATCCCCGTCAAAATACCAATAGCATTTTTCAGAGAACTAGAGCAAATAATCCTAAAATTTGTATGGAACCACTGTCGACCCTGACTGACCAAAGTAATCTTGAGAAAGAACAAAACTGGGGGTGTCACACTTCCTAATATCAAACTATATTACAAAGCAATGGTAATCAACACAGCATAGTACTGACATGAAAACATGTATGTAGTTCAATGGAACAGAGCAGAGGGCCAAGAAATAAACTGATGCTTATATGGTCAATTAATCTAAGACAAATGAAGCATACAATTTTGAAGAGACAGTCTTCTACTAAAGGTGTTGGGAAAACTGGACAGTACACCCAAAAGAATGAAACTGGATCACTATCTTACACCATATACAAAAATAATTCAACAAGGATTAAAGACTTCTGAATGTAAAACTTGAAACGATAAAACTTCTAGAAGAAAGCAGAGGCAGAAAGCTCTTTGATGTCTGTCTCAGTAATATTTTTTGGACCACTGGTCCTCACCCCAGGCAAGCACAATAGAAACTGGAAGTGAACAAGTGGGGTTGCGTCAAACTAAAAAGCTTCTGCAGGGCACAGAAAACCCTCAATAAAATGAAAAGGCAACCTACTGAATGGGAGAAGATACTGTAAATGATATATCCAATAAGGGGTTAATATCCAAAATGTACAGACAACTCAGCTAACTCCACACCAAAAAAAATGGGCAGAGGAAATGAATAAACATTTTTCCGCAGACATACAGATGGCCATCGTGACAAAATGCTCCACATCACTCACCATCAGGGAATTGCAAATAAAACCACTTAACACCTCACACCATCAGAACGGCCACCATCCAAAAGACAAGAAATAACAAGTGTTGGCGAGGACGTGGGGAAGAGGGAGCCCTCATGCACCTCTGATGGGAATGTAGAATGGTGCAGCCACTATGGAAAATGGTATGGAGGTTCCTCAAAAAATTAAAAATAGTCATGCCATATGACCCAGTAATTCCATTTCTGGGTATTTATCTGGAGAAAATGAAAACACTAGTTCAAAAACTCATTTGACAACTTGAGGCTTTGCTTTCATCTGGCCCAGGTGAGAGGGGAAGGCTCAGAGCAGGGCTGTGCTAACAGAGGCAGTGAGAAGTGATCAAGCTCATTAATACCCAACATTTTAGAGCTAAAAGAGGTCATGGAAGTAACTCATTCCAGTTGTTATTTTACAGAAGATGGGACTGAAGCCCAAAGATGTCAACTGAGTTACTCATAGCCATACACATAATTATTGGCAAAACCCAAATTTCCTAATTGCCATCACTACACCTCTGTCCTACCTGGCCATCCCAGGGGTGGGTGGGGAATGCAGGAGACAGGAATATGGAGCCTCTAGAAGGTAATCCCAGTCGAGTTTAAAATAGATGACGGCCTGCTTTGGGCAATGCCCTCCTGGCCAAACCCAGCGGGCCCTCCCTTGAGCCCTCTGCGGCCTCCACCTTTGACTGCTTTCATTTCTTTCTGAGACTCCCTTCTCCCTGGCTTCCCCCGATCCTGCTCTCTGCAGCCTCTCCCTTCCTTGGTCCCTGACCAGTCGTGTTTACCTGTAACCATCCTGCCCTCTAAGAGTTACTGCTTCCCAGGATGCGGTCTGGCGCACGACTTCTTCAACTGTCATCTCAGAGGACAGTAACTGTTTGCCTCCTCCACGTCTCCTTCCCTCGCTCTGGTAGTTGACCTGAGTGTCCTCTGCCGTCACCCTTTCATACTCTTGAGTTCCTCCCGTAAAGATGTGCCTTTACAGAGGCGACACATGACTTACACCTCACCAATCAGCATATTCCAACTCCCTGAGACCCAACCAGTTTATAAGATCATGGGGTAGCTGGTGGGGTACCAGGGATATTGACAGTCCCCCCTCTCCTGTTAGATCTGAACCTGCAACTTCCCCTCGCCGTCACAAGCAGAGAGCCTGAGACAAGAGGAGGCGAGAAAATGAGTCCTGATGAAATCGTTTGAGCCCTGAGCCCATGCCTGAAGCCAGGTACACTCCTGAGCTTTTCAGTGACATGAGCCAATGACATTCCTTTTAGCTTAAGCTGATTTGAACTGGGTTCTCTACCACTTGTGTAAAAGAAAGAGTCCTAACTGATACCTTATCTCTCTGTATGCTCCTTCTCTGGACCCTCTTAAACAAGGACTCCAAAGTCTTCATCTGCAACCTAGACAACCCTTTGCAGCTGCAGATTCATATCCACCCATCTAGGAGATCTTTTCTCCCATATGTCACACGCAGGCACCTCGGATGGAAATGTGCAAAATGGAATCTGTCATCTCTGCTTCGACCATCTCAGCGCGCTACTCTTCATGTTTTTCTCTACCCTGGAAAAAATGTCACTCCACCCAAAACAACACTCAAGACAGAAATTTAGGACATCCTAGTCGTCTGCCAGGAAATCCTGATGGCGCTGAGATCCTGACTGGCTCTTTCTGACTGTGCGACCCAGGTAGATTAATGAATTTATCTGACCCTTGGGTTTCCATACTGACTTGCTTGGATTCAGTGAGAAAATGTATGTAAAGCAGTAGATGTTTGTCGGTCCCAACAGCCAGTGCATCACTAAGTCTGAATCAAAACTTCATCCTCACTGCTTTCCCCTCAGCTCAGAGCCTCACCGTCTTTCCCCTGGACGCCCACCAGATGTTTCCATCTCTTCTTATCTCTGAGATGGGGAGAAGGAGTGGAGGAGACCTGTAGGCGACTTAAACTGATTTCCCTATATATTTCTATGTTAAAAAAAGCTCTTAT